TTTCACAAAAAAAATCTGAATTGAGCATTAAACCCTGCAGTCTGAACATAGCCTAAGTGAGGAGTGAATGAATAATGTACTGTAAAACGCTTTGGTTTTGGGTGTCTTGAAAGGCGCTATATAAATGCTGTGATTGATGTTTTATATTTTAGATTCATAAAAGTGAAAAACTGCATAGCACACTCAGACGGCCGATGTCCAAAAGCTTTTATTAAAATTTTTAAATAACGTTTCATCAAAAAAGCCTTTGTCAGATATTTTTCTTGCTTTGGACCACAGTACTCTGTATACTTTATATTGCCGTTCCTTGCATTTGCACCTACAAGAACTTTGGTGTGCATTTTCTGTTTCATTTGATTACATTTTAAATTCCTCAAAGAATCCACACTTGGCTTTGTTGACAGCGCTGCAAACCCTTGACCTTCTCTCATTGAGCTTCATGATGAAGCCTCCTGAAATGGTTTTCACTTGTTTCGAGGTAATTCACACTTTTGGTTTTGTACATTCAATAAATACTGTATATTCATTGATGCCAGATGCCCTTCAGTGAGAGTCCGCATTATAAACAGTCATAAAAATTAAAAAAAAAAGGATGAAAAATGATGTCCTTGTAACTTAAGATAAATCCAGCTAAATCCTCCAAGAGAAAAGCACATACAGTATTTTCCGCTCTATAGGGCATGCTCAAAATCCTCTAACCCCATCAAAAAACAACTCCGCACCCCACAATCCAGAGCGCCCTATACACGAATCCACTTGGGTATCAAAGCACGACTTCAGTGTCCGGAGCAGACAGCGACCGCGCAGCCAAAAACACCCGCAGCCACACTCATCCCTCCACGCCGACGAGGAACGGAACGGAGGAACGAACCGAAAAAGCGAGCGCAATGTGCCACTTCTAGACACGACTGAACAACTGAGTCACTGCGAACACGCCGACAATCCAGCGGTCCCAGACAGCACCCTCCCTACACCAGGGTGAAAAAATGCATAGCACACTCGGTTGGCCGAAGTCCAAAGCTTTTTTATTAACAAAATAAACGTTTCGGCAAAAAAAACCTTCATCAGATATTTTTCTTGTCTTGGACCACAGCGCACCAACTCCTTGCATTTGCACCTCTACAAGAATTTTGGTGTGCATTTTCTGTTTCTTTTGAGCACCGTCCCTACACGCCACTACTAAACAAATCCAGATTCACCATGAACGCGCCAAACAAAGTCCCACTGACCCATCCAACTGTTGTGTTTCGTTTAAAGTCCGGTGCGGTTTATTTGTGAAAAAAGTTCGAACATAGACCATTTAATGACAGTGCGTCTTATAATCCAGCGCACCTAATAGTGTGGAAAATATGGTATATCTTTCCTGTCTACAAATACATAAAGGTAAAAACTAGACTAAAACAATATTAAATCAGATCTAAGCAAGGCAAACAAGGTCTAAACCAGGACTAAACCAAGTCTCAATCATAAACTGTATATTTAAATGGACTCGTTCGAAAAAGGAAGTTCACATTTGGGCTCTTCCAGCTCCTTCTGACTCTGGTTCCCTTTGACTTACATTAGAATATTGTCGCTCTCTCTTTAGTCTTAAAATGTTCGTATTAACCCGCTCTGCATGATCCTAGTTTGTTTTTTTTCCCCTGCTATTTTGTACGTTCAAAAAATCCTATCCATACGTCTTCCTCTCCTCTTTCTCTGTATATCCCGCATGTATTTTAGCTTTGCATGTGCTGGTTGAGTTGGTGTGTGAACAAAGTGTTGACAGGCTCCAGGAATCGCACCTGTCAGGTATCCCAGCGTTCACCTGCCACTCCGGGAAGGGGCTGTGACAGTTATGGATGGTGCAAATGAGGTGTTTGCACTAGCACGTACACCGTCTTTGGGGCTGTGAGGAAACATGCTGGCACTGGAGGTAAACACGTGTCAGCCTGGTTAGTACGAGACGAGGAGGAATCGGCAATGACAACGTAAACAGGTAAAAGGCAGTGTTTCGGCACGGATCTTTAAAGTGGGCCAAACCTCCTCGTTAAAACCTGATCTTGACAAATCTCCGGAGCTGAACAGGGCCGGGTCTGATTAGTACTTGGACAGGAGGCCGCTGGGAATAGCAGCAGTTGTGTCCTTAGGCAAGACACTCCATCCTCATTGCCAGGCACGTCACCCACAAGGTTCAGCAATATGGACCAATAAATATATTTTGATATATTTTGCTTTATCTCAACATACGATACATATCTCAATATCTGTACAAGAAAAATAACACCCCAAAAACTACCAAATTCAACAAGGTCTTTTTTTATTGAAGTGCAAAGAGGCAGTTCATGTAGAAAGTGATTCTGCTGGTTTATGTTATTAGGTTCTTTTTTCAGACAAAAAGTTTGTTTCATTTCTGACCACAGTAAAAGAGAGAACCACATTATGGACCGGGACGGAGCAAACATCTGGGACAGAGGAAAACAAACATCATCGTTGGATTAAAGGTTGTATGGAGGATTTTTTTTAGGTAGTTTAAAGTTTTTTTGTAGTTTTAAATTGTCAGTGAAAGTTTAAAATATCATTACAGAGATGCAGCAGCCTTGTAATTAAAGGTTGTATAGAGGATTTTCCAGGAACGAGAAATCCAGCGACTGTTTGTCCTTTTTCAAATGTTGCGCATGCGTGAAACCACCCCCCCTCCCCTACAGCTCCTACGTAGAAACGCCTCCTCCCACCTCCTCCTTACGCCAGAAAGTATTCATCGCTGCACATGACTTGTAAACAACTAACTACAGTGTTGGTTAGGCAAGGCGGAGAAGTGAGAAGCGGGGGGAGGGGGTGCGCGGACATTTCGTGCGCGGAAAAGAAGTGAGGAGCAAGGAGAAGAGCGAAATGGGGAGCGGGGAGAGGAGCAGTAAGGGGTGCAGAGAAGGTTGCGCAGAGATTCTGTGCTAATGAAGCTACTACTACAACACGCAGCAGCAAGCGGACTCTTTCTTTGCATTGAAAATTACGTTTTCAGACATAGGATATCGCATTCGTGTCCTGAAAAACATTTGTCTAGCTCTTGGAAATAAAAAAAAAAAATTCATAATAAGCAGAAGTTACCCGTCCAGAAGTAATTTGTGGACCAGTGCGTCAGTCTTTAGACCCTTCGTCTGCTTCAGTCGCGCAATCGCTGGAATGAATCTCCAAGAATCACCTTAGTTTGGCTTCGTTGCTTTTCCCCTTGTCTTCTTCTTTCAGCGACCTCAAAAACGGACTTTCTTTTGCGGCGAACTGCTCCTGGATTCTTGTCGCCATTGCAACAAACTTTGTGCGAACTGCGAGGAAGATATAGGGCAAAAAAGCCGCTAAGAACTGTTACGTTGGTGGAGTAAACAGCGTCTGTGCGTCTGAGGACTGCTTGACAGGCGTACGTAAACCACGTACCGGCAGCGCGCAGGCAAGTCAGTTACACTAGAAACGTAAGGAGTTTGATTGACAGCCTGTCAGTTAACAGATAACGAGGCAGTGTCGTTATCTATTGGCAAATGTTTAGCCCCACCACATCCAGAGTTGATGAATTTTTATTGTCTTTTTTTTGGTCATCATAATTACAAGGCTACTGCACCTTTATAATCTATCACTGACAATTTGAAACAAAACAAAAAATCCTCCATACAACCTTTAAGATGACCAAAAGAAAATAAGAACGAAATCTATCAACTGTGAAAGTAGTGAAGCCAGATAAACAACAGCCAATAGATAACAAGGCTACCTCATTTTCTATTGGCTGTTAGGTTGTCAGTCAAACTCCCTACGTTTCTAGTGTAACTGACTCGCGGCGCGCACGGATTACGTGGTTTATGCAGCGGTTCTTAGAGGCTATTTCGAATTGTAGCTTCCTCGCAATTCGCACATAGTTTGTTGCGATGGCCGACGAGAAGAAAGTTCGTTTTTGAGGTCGCTGAAAGAAGAAGAGAAGGGGAAAAGGAGCAAAGCCAAACTGAGGTGATTCTTGGAGATTCCTTCCAGCAATGGCACGATTGAAGTAGACAAAGGGTCTAAAAATTGATGCATCGGTCGCTAAATTATTTCTAGACAGGTCACTTCAACGGTAATTCTGAACACATGATTTCTAAAGTAAGGAGGCGGGAGGAGATGTTTCTACTGAGGGAGCTGTGGAGGAGGACGGTGGTGTCACGCATCCACAACATTTGAAAAATGACTGTCACTGAATTTCTCTTTCCTTAAAAAAATCCGCTTTACAATCTTTAAAGAGGCAATCGAAATACGGAAACGTGCCCACGGTACTATAAACTGGGACGAGAGGCTTTTTTACTCTCACACACCTGGGATTAGTATATGGTGTTTTTATAGCTTTGTCTACTGGCAAACTAGGAAAATTTGCAGCTTTCTGGTCAAAAGTGATGAGAAAAACCACACAAAGTTGTACGGGTGGAGTGTGAAGTGTGGATTTAATGCCACTTTCTACTGAACGTCGGTAGTCAATAAATCTGAGGCAGTTCTCCCGGCATCTGTTGTAAATGCCTTCCATTGCAACAGTCGAGGAAAATATGGATGCCCGAGAAAGTTTAATGTAACGTCGTTAGCTCCTGTTAATAAATCGAGTCTGTTAGCCAACGTAAGCTGTCGGCGACTCAATTATGGCCATTTGACGATAATATGTTCTGAAAAAAACTTGTGTCTAGTGTCAAATGATGTGAAAGAAAGTGTAAATGTCACTACTAAGTTTTTAGAAGACGCTTTCTCTACACGAACACAACTTAACACATCAAAAAAGAGAAAAGACAATTCTCCGCGTTTACGGTTTGTGACGTAAATCCAACCAACTTAGTCTGTACCAAACTACTTTCTCCGAGTCCCGAGAGCAACAGAATGCAGCATAACATTCGAGAACTTCCATAATCGAGCTTTAATTTGTGCAGTTCATGTTTTTGTTTTGTTTTCTGCACCTCAATTTCATAAGTAACCAAAAATCTGAAATCCAGAGCCAGGTAGAATACTAAAAAGCGTATTACCTGTAGGTAGGTGATTCTGTTCTGGACCAAGTCGGACAGATCTTTGGCCTCCTTGGCTCTCCACTCGCCCACTCCATCGGCCTGGCTGAGGTAGTACAAGTCTGTCATGATGGATCTGCAACAATACAAAAATATAAAATTCAGCGTGCAAAACTGGGTAAAAATACTACTCAAATGTTCACTCAAGTAAAAGTACCATTGCTTAACATCGTCAATTAATTCTACTAATGCATAAATTCTAATATTTCCAAAACAGTCAAATGAAACTACAAGTAAAAAGTTTTAAAATCAAGAATCATTCATTAACTCGCAGTCACACTTGGATACACAAGAAACTGGAGACAAGAGGTGAACCGTCTTGCCCAAGGACACAACAGCAGGGCCCATGTTCTGCTCTATGTTCTAATGTTGTTTTACTCATCACAAACAGACCTGGAGTTGTGTTTTGTTTCGTTCACACACTCAAGTTTAACACACAAACCCTTAGATCTTCTCTGAACCTTGTGATGTCTTGTGGTAATACAGGATGTGCTCCACTGTGTTTTTAAACTCCGTACGTCTTCACTAGAATCAGTTGGATAATTTCAGTCCTGGAATCGGCAATTTCTACTGAACAAACGGTAAAACGTAGCTGTCAACTTACAGTGACCAGATTTTCAAACTGAGAAACTGGGACACCCCCGGGCTGGTCATGGCTGGTAATAATAACATTGTGTAATTAAAGAAAATTGTTATGCCCTTGGCCCATTCATGACTTATTCACGACAACATGTGAGTCAGTATAGTCATAATTTTCTTTTCGTTTTCCGTAATTTTACCTAAACAAAAACCTTGAGAAAAATCGTCTAAAAAATTGTCTAGTTTGTTGTTGCTGTTGTTTAGGTTTTTGTTTAGGTATAAAAGAATGACAACTTTGCACATCAGTTATTTGAGACAGATGCGTTGGAGGAGAGGGAGCAGTCCAAGAACATTGAGAAAAATCACACACACCGTCTTACTTGCAAAATGTGAGCTTTGTAAGGACATACAGTACAAAGTTTCGGCACTAGGACTTCATCAGGAAAAAAAAAACTGACAAAAAAAAAAAACAGAGAAACTTTTAAAGCCTAGGGCTAACTAGTAAGGCCTAGTGCCGAAATGTTGTACTGTATGTCCTAATAAATCTCACATTTTGCAAGTAAGACGGTGTGTGCGATTTTTCTCTATGTTCTGGGGCTGCTCCCTCTCCTCCAACGCACCCGTCTCAAGTAACTGATGTGCGAAGTTCTCATTCTTTTATACCTAAACAAAAACCTAAAACAAAAAAACTAGACAATTTATGCCTCTTTTTACTGTTCGCAGGCATCAAACTGGTCAAAAATAGAAACACCTGGGACATTTCTTGTATGAGGCTACGTTTATATGATGATTGTCTGACTCAAAAGTGGCGTTGCGTCTTTTTATTCCAGGTTTAGACGAGCGATTTTGGGAGGAAATCTGCGTGCGTACGGTGACGCAAAAGTGTGTGGAATTCGATTGGTTATGCATGCCAGGCGGCTCGGTGGTGATGTATGTGACGTAAACGTGTTCGCGACGTGAGCAGATCTGACCAGAGTTTTGCGTCTTGGGCAGTGTAGACGGAAACGCTACAGTGGAGCGTATTTAACTTTTCTACTCTGGAGGGTAGTTTCAGATTTTTGAGGTTTTTAAGCCCCAAAAACGCCGTCACCGTCTAAACGAAAGGCACTTCCGATAAAATATTTTGTAGTTTTTACCCACAAGCGTTGTCGTGTAAACTGGGACAAATAAGTGGTAACTGGGCTCTAAATTGGGACTGTCTCCGGTAAAAAGGTACATCTGGTCACTTTGTTAACTTGAAAACTACTGCTTCATGACATCACAAGGTGGAACGGAGCATTTTGAAGCTTGGAGATGTAATCAGACTAATTAAACAGCTTTACTCAAACATGTGTGAATAAAATAAAACACAAACACAACTCCAGGTCTGTTTTTGAGGAGGTAACCACATCATACTCATAATAATCCATTTTGCGTAATATTATTAGACTATTTATTCACCACAAATCAAGTCTTTCTTCATGCTAGGCTAATTAGCATGTAGTTATTAGGAAGCGAAACCAAAATATTTAGACGCCGTGAGAAAATTAACTCTTTTTTTGCAAGTCAACTCTTTCCAAAGCTATTCCGAGCGAACGCAAAGTACACAACTCTCTGAAAGTATTAATAAAACATTTCCAATTTCAAAAGCGCCCTCAACCATTCCACACTCAGGGAGTTAATCACTGCCATGTGTTTAGGGAAACTATTTATCTCGCTCCATATTTGTTCAGAATTGCGTGTGCGTTAAAATAATGGCACTTTTACCCCGGGGACATATTAGAAGCAGGTTTTACAGGCCGGCCGCTCTGGTACCATCAAAACCGCACAGGCTGTCGCTAGCTAGCATAGCACTAATGAATACAACATCTGGGCTCTATCGTCGAGTTGGTAAAAATGGCGTAACGGGTGTGTGGGCTGTTTGAAAATACAATGCATGAAAATACGCACAGGTTATTCCCATAGTAGCAGTTAGCTTGATAAGGACTTAAAACAGTGACAGGTTTATCGGGAAAGAATGACAAATATGGTTTTGAAAATAATTGTATACATTTTTGCCTTAGTTTCGAAATTGTTTTAACAGAACAAAGACGTCATGGGGTAGAAGTTTGTCTCTAAACTGATACTTTGAATAGGGTTACCAGATTTGCAAAATGAAAAACTGGAACATCCCCGGTTTGAAGTGGTTGGTAATAATGAAACTGTGAAACGAGTGCATAATTCAGGAAAATTGTTACACACTCGGCACTAATGTGACTCAGTATATTCATTTTTAATATTATAAATAACTGGTCGAGAGGGCTTCTTGCAGACAAGTCTCCTTATCGTCGAACAAATAAGAGGGGTAAAAATGTTTAGTTTGGGTAACCATGGCAACTGCAGAGGGCCTCATGCTCTCAGCAAAGAAAAGCCAAACACCCATCGAAGAACAAAGAATAGGTCTAAAGCCAGGTCTGAACCAGGACTATGCAAGGACTAAAGCAGGTAGCGGCATCACACTAGATCAGGGGTTTTCAAATTGGGTGAATGTGAACCCCCTCCCCCGATCGTGGCATGGTTAAGTCCTTGTTAAATCCTGGTTAATCCTGGTTTAGACCTGGTTTAAGTCCTAATTTTAGTTCTGGTTTAAATCCTAATTTTAGGTCTGGTTTAGTCCTGATTTTAGTTCTGGTTTAGTCCTGTTTTAGTTCTGGTTTAGTCCTGATTTTAGAAGACACGGTCCATACTGCGTACGCGGGGAGACCCAGTCTACGCGGCGTATGCAAGAAGACTCGGTCCATGCGGCGTACGCGGGAAGACTCGGTTTATGCGGCGTACGCGCGAAGACTCGGTTTACGCGGCGTACGCGGGAAGACTCGGTCCACGCGGCGTACGCTTGAAGACTCGGTCCACGCGGCGTACGCGGGAAGACTCGGTCCACGCGGCGTACGCGGGAAGACTCGGTTTACGAGGCGTACGCGGGAAGACTCGGTTTACGAGGCGTACGCGGGAAGACTCGGTCCACACGGCGTACGCTTGAAGACTCGGTTTACGAGGCGTACGCGGGAAGACTCGGTCCACACGGCGTACGCTTGAAGACTTGGTCCACACGACGTACGCTGGAAGACTCGGTTTACGAGGCCTACGCGGGAAGACTCGGTCCACACGGCGTACGCTTGAAGACTCGGTCCACACGCGTACGCTTGAAGACTCGGTCCACACGGCGTACGCTTGAAGACTCGGTCCACACGCGTACGCTTGAAGACTCGGTCCACACGGCGTACGCTTGGAAGACTCGGTCCACACGGCGTACGCTTGAAGACTCGGTCCACGCGGCGTACGCGGGAAGACTCGGTTTACGAGGCCTACGCGGGAAGACTCGGTCCACACGGCGTACGCTTGAAGACTCGGTCCACACGGCGTACGCTTGAAGACTCGGTCCACACGGCGTACGCTTGAAGACTCGGTCCACGCGGCGTACGCGGGAAGACTCGGTTTACGAGGCGTACGCTTGAAGACTCGGTCCACACGGCGTACTCGGAAGACTCGGTTCACACTGCTTACGCGGGAAGACTCGGTCCACGCGGCGTACTCGGGAAGACTCGGTTCACACTGCTTACGCGGGAAGGCTCAGTCCACGCCGTATATGCAGGAAGACTCGGTCCACACGGCGTACACAAGAAGACTCGATCCACACAGCGTACGCGGGAAGACTTGGTCCACGTGCCGTACACGAGAAGACTTGATCCGTGAGGCGTACGCGGGAAGACTTGGTCCACGCGGCATACGTGAGAAGACTCGGTCAACGTGGTACATGGGAGGAGGCGCGGCCCACGCGGTGTATACACGGCAAAAAAAGGTGACGCTCCAAACTATGAGTAGGTTTTCAGAATGGCGACATAATTTTACAGCTAACGCACGCAGAATTACCGATACAATACTACTGCAGATGTGTACAGATGTGGACCATTATTTTTTCTTCACGTGCATGTTGCGTCTCCCCCGTGGCTTTTTGGCGCCTCTCAAGGGAGGTGGGCCTCTAATGTTGAAAACGTCTGCACTAGATCTTTATTAAGACATAAATCCATTGTGACAGGGGACACAGGGCTCAAAACTGGGAAAACTGATCTAAACCAGAACTAACTAAAGCAGGTCTATCTCCAGTCTTCCAAAGGCCAAAACCTGAACCAAAAAGTGACTTAAAGTGCCCATATTACACTATTTTCTGATTCTATGTTATAATGTTTCACCATCAAGTTTGTTTTGTTTCATTCACACATTTAATACATGAACAAAAGGGCTCTGCTGTGTTTTTAAATGCCACACACCTTCACTAGAATCAGCTGGATAATTTCAGTCCTGGAATTTCCAATGTCTAATGAACAAAAAACTATTGCTTCATGACATCACAAGGTGGAACAGAGCATTTTGAGCTTTAAGGATTACTCAAACATGTGTGAATGAAACAAAACACAATGCCAGGTTTGTTTTTGACAAGGTTACAACATTCTAACATGGCTTAAAACTCACAAGAATCAA